CCCCCCCCCCCCCCCGCCCCTCCCCTGCACATGCTTTCTCTCTCTCTCTCTCTCTCAAAATACATAAACATTTTAGAAAATAATCATTTTTGGAACCCAGGGGTTTTGAGAGCAGTCTTTTGTTCAAAGAGCTATTTGAATCCCCTGGCACCATGCCTGGCATGCAGACATGCTTAGTCCCATCCACTTCCTTGCTTATTCCTTCAAGAGTTTCCTAATCGAAAATAGGGCTAGCAGATCTAAGTGGGTCACAAAGACACCTTTTAACTGTTGACACATACAAACGTTACAGTAAAAATTAGACTGGAGATACTAGGCGTTGATTTCAACCCTTATCACCGGTAATTTACTCTTTCTTTTAAACAAAAGTCCCAGCATTTTGTTTCCGCCTGCTGTGGTCCAAGAACACATCTTTATTCAGAAGGTATAAAGTCCAGAGAACATACGAATATCTGAAGAAAAAAAAAAACACAACATCGTAATCACTAATTCATAAAAGAAGGAAAAAAAACCTTTCAGCTAAGCGTGATACTTTTGTGCGCTATGTTCAGAGTGAGCACAGGACAGGGCAGTTTCCCAGCTGAAGCCACTGTTCTCCTCCCTGTCGTCACCTTTAGGCCCTTATGACCAAAGAGTGCCAACAGTGGCTTGACACTGCATGTGTCTCCTTGCCAAGTGTCTCACCTGCACTGGCTAAAAGAATCCTTGGATGAGCTTCCCCCACTGGGGATGGGCCCAAGTTGTGCCCTCTATTTCAGAGGGTCCTTGGAGAGGGTGCAGGCTCCTTCCATAGGCTCTTGCATCCAGGGGACCTCATCTCTGAGGAACAGGAGAGCTACAGTCCAGAAAGCAGAATGCTGTAAGGGAGAGAACAACCCAGGGGGAAAAGCTAGTTAGGGAAATGATTGGCAGTGAAGAAACTCCACGTGGGACTTGGGAGCAGAAGCCTCAGAAAATGGGTTCAGCCCTCAAGTGGCTTTTGATTCGTGCCTCCTTCCAAGGTATCAGCTTGCCCTCTGAACTCAGAGCTTTGTTTTCCTCAAATGCCTCCTTTCTTTCCACTCCTTATCCCCCCAAATGCATAAAGTTGGCCTTTTCCCTTCTAATCATCTCTTGTGAGCTCCATCACCCACTTTCTTGAAATATACCTGGAAAGTACCGGAAATGAACTGGAGGCCTCCCAAAACAGGGATCGGCTCTGAAAGCCCTAACACAGGCCACTGCTCCCTCAGGCTCTCGCCGGAGCGATGGATCCACTGATGGGCTTCCAAGGCATACCTGCGCTTAAAGCCTTTCCCACATTGTGGGCAGGAGAAGGGCGGGCTATCAGAGTGAATGTGCCGGTGACTGAGAAGAAGAAAGATATAGGTAAAGCAGAGGCCACAGTCCACACAGTGTGTGCGCCTGTATGTGTGCACCTGAGTATGGCCAGCCAGCAGGGAGGTGTAGGCAAAACAGAGGCTGCAGCTGGGACAGCTGTCAGGGCTTCTCCCCACTGTGCTTGCGCTGGTGGATGGCTAACAGGTAGGGGTAAGTGAAGTGACTTTTGCAGTCTTGGGGGGGGGGGTTTCTCCCAGGTGTGAGAGCCCACCTGTGGATGGCCAGGGAACCCCTCTGGTGGAAACGTTGCCCACAGTCAGGGCAAGAGTGGGGCTTTTCACCTGTGTGGAAGAGTTGATGCTGGAGCAGATGCTTGCACTGGGAGAGACGAGCCTGGCATTGGTCACACCGGAAGGGCCGCTCCCCAGGTTGGCCAGGAGGGAGGGGTAGCTGAAGTTGTGGCCACAGTTTGGGCAAGCGTAGGCTGATTTGTGGGTTGTACTGTCCTTGAACCAAGGCTAGATTGGGCTCTGCCCAGAGTCCAGTAGAGCTCTGGGCAGGTGGCTTTGTGACTGGGGCCAGGTGGCCTGCTGGATGGTAACCACTCCTTGAGAGACACTTCCTCATGCGCCGTCTCTCTGTTTTGGACTCTTGTTCAGTTCTTTTTCCTCACTGTCATCCCCGGATCCTGAGACAGGATAAAAGATAAAACTTCAAACTTAGCATATTCCATATGGTGGCCTGACCTGGGAAGCAGCATGAATGTCTGAATATACGGCAGTCTGCTGGATTGGGGCTCTTTGAGATGGGGGCCTCATCAAACCCAGAAAGCTAGCCTGGAGTAAAAGCAAATTTCATCATCTGGACGGTGTTGACACATGAAAGCTCTGAAAACTGGAGATAAACAGAGGTGAACCCCTACTCTGTCAGGCATTGAGGGTGGTGATGGTCTCAGCCTTTGTGGAGCTTACAACCCTGAACCTATTTATGACCCCTTTGCAAAACAGCCACTAAATGACCTCCCTTAGGCCATCCCCAGTAAGGGGATGTCATCAAAAAGTCTACACTTGGACTGTACTCCAGGTTCCACAGGAAGACCTGGGAACGAGCATTTATTATGACGTGACGGCAGAGAAAACATGTTTGTTTGTTTGTTTGTTTGTTTGTTTGTTTGTTTAATGTCTATTTTTGAGAGAGACAGAACATGAGTGAGAGAGGGGCAGAGAGAGAGGGAGATGCAGAATCTGAAGCAGACTTCAGGCTCTGAGCTCTCAGCACACAGCTGAACTCGAGGCTGGAACTCTGAACCAGGAGGTCATGACCTAAGCCAAAGTCCCACACTTAACGGACTGAGCCACCCAAGCACCCCAACATGTTTTATTTTAGAATCTCTGATGAATGACATTATCCTTGCATTGTGGTCCGCATATTAATACCTAAAAGGAACATTTATCTTCATTTTATTACACAAGAAAAATCTAATTAGGTATGTGTTTCTCCTTTCCTTTCGCTGCCCTGACAACTCAAGCACTATTCTGTACTAAACTGGGGTTTTCCAGTATGATTAAGTAGTGCTATTTAGCTGTTCTACGAGCCATTTTGCAGTGAGATTGGAACCTTCGGGAGAGGAGGTTTAGGGATACGCGATGGGGCTTTGGAGGAGGCAGTGTGTGCTATGGATTCGAGTTAGGGGACGAGCGTCTAAGAGGTGCCAATACTGGGTTTGAGTGAAGTACCCGTTACCTTCCCCCCCCCCCCCGTCTCTGATGACAGCTGCTGGGGTCTCACCCTCTGGATCCTAGGCCTCCACCTCTCCTTCCACCCAAGAAATAAAAGCGGATTTGGGGCCTAAAAATCCTGCGGAGGGGAAACATTGGGTTCGGCTGAGAACCCGAGAGGGAAGGATGAGGCTGCTTCCTTAGTGCCCCACACTTCCATCCCACTCGAACCTGGGGACATCAGTCCCCCCTTCCCGTCATTCCCCCTAGCTGGACCGCCGGGCCTCACCGAGCGCGCCCAGGCGGCCGTACGTCTCCCACATCACGTCCCGGTACAGGGCGCTCTGCGCTGGCCGCCGACACCCCCAGCCCCCCAGAAGAAGTACACGGCCACGTCCGAGAAGTTCACGACCCCAGGGCTGCTTTCTCACGCCCGGCCTCTCCGGGAAGCGTCATGGAAAAACCCTTCAGTGCTACGCCAAGAGAGGCTTCTGGAATATGTGAAAACGCTCGAGGTTTGCTAGCTTTCTTCTGAAAAAGTCCTGAAAGGCCACGGCCGTGCCCTTAACCAACATGGCGCCTCTTCGGCTTCAACCTCCCTTGCTTTTCCGGTCTGCCCTTCCTCACCAAGGGGAAAACCAGGAGGGAGGTTGGACCTGCAGGGCAGCAAATCGTAGATGACGTACGTTGATTGGACTGCGCCGGCGATTAGGGGAAGAAGGAAGGCTGTGATTGGTCTCTCCAGAGCGGCCTATTTGAAAGACTGAGGAGAAGGAGCGACCTGTCTGGAAGGTGGCGCGCGGTGAGAGGCGGTAGGTTCTTTCTCTTTCTTTCTCTCTTCTTAAGTAGGCTTTCTTTTGACCTGGCTTTTCCGGGACAGGACCTAAAAGAGTGTTTTTGACGGTTTGAGGCTACTGCCTTCTACTTACATGAGACCTGTTACGAGCAGGTGCAGATGTCCCGGGCTTGAAGGTGAGTAAAAGCCAAAGGCTGAAAACGAGATGATGGAAGTGAGGGCTGGCCTGCCCCAACCTGCTCTGGGTACCCTGGGCAGGGCTAGCCCGGGCGAGCTGCGGAAACGATTCCTACCAGGTATTTGATTTGGCCCATGCCCCGAGGTCACAGATGTCTTGCCTTTCACAGACGCAGCAGCTGAGGGACAGAAAGCAGGTTCAAAACCATCTGGCTCCCAGGTTCAGCCAAGTGCTTAGCTAAGCACTTACTGTACCATGTCTCGATCAGAAATTTTGTGTTCGAATTACAGCTCATAAATGAGTAATCAAACTGGGAAATGAATCAAATCACCTCTTAATCTGTTTTTTCAAACTTTTCCAACCAAGTAGTATTCATGGGAGCAGAGAAGGAAAGTTCTACGGATATAACAAAAAGCTGTCCATCCGTACAGTGAAACCACTTTGAAGACATAATCTAGCTATACAATTCATGTGGATATGCATTCTATTTCATAATATAGTCAAATTCAATAGAGTGCATAGTCAAAAGTAAGTTTTGAACATGTTGAACGTTCTTATACTACAGGTGGAGTGTAAATTGGTACAACTTTGGAAAACTGTCCGTATCTACCAAAGCTAAATATTTGAGTGCCTATCTACGACCCAGCAATTCCACTCCTACTCACATAATCAGAAGAAGTGCATACATAGGTTTACTGAACGACACGTACTCAAATGTTCACAGCAACATTAGTTGCAGTAGCCAACAACCAGAAACTATTCACAACAGTAGAAGAATGAATAAATAAATCATTGGAATACTATTCATGGAATATTATTTAGAAATGAGAATGAATAATCTAGAACTACATGCATGATATGGATGAATCTTACAGACATACTGTTGAGCAAAAGAAGCCAGACACAAAATAATATGTAATATGTGATTCAATTTACATAAAGTATAAAAACAGGCAAAACTAATCCAAGCTTTTTGTTTGTAAAGTGCTGATAATGGGGTGGCTGACTGGCTCAGTCAGTAGAGCCTTGCTCTCAGGGTCATAAATTTGAGCCCCACGTTGGGTGTAGAGATTACTTTAAAATAAATAAATAGGGGTGCCTGGGTGGCTCAGTCAGTTGTGTCCATTCTTGATTTTGGCTCAGGTCATGATCTCATGGTTCATGAGTTCAAGCCCCATGTCCAGCTCTGTGCTGACAGTGTAGAGCCTGCGTGGGATCTTCTGTCTCCCTCTCTCTCTGCCCCTCCCCTGCTCGTGTGCCTTCTCTCTCACTCTCAAAAATAAATAAACATTAAAGTAAATAAATAAAGCAGGGCACCTGGGTGGCTCAGTTGGTTAAATATCCAACTACAGCTCAGGTCAT